TCATCTCATTCAAGGGTGAAGAGACAGATTGTCACTAAATTCATTGGAATAACTACTTCACTGAAGATGGTATTTTAGATTAATCAGTGAATATTAAACATTGTGATACTGTTGTGGGGATTAAATGATATAACATGAGAAATTAGAATGTATAGTACATAAAGATTGTTATTATAGCTAATATGATCTGAATTATTGTCTGATTAGAATACCATCAGATCAGCAAGGTGGTAATTCTGCGGAGTTAAGTAATCAAGGCTTGGAAAGGTTTTTCTGGTCTGGACGAATTCTCTATCAAAACCCCCACCTCTTTTCTGAGTCAGTGTATACCCATCTATACCAAGCTATTCAGCTTTTTAATTTGCTCAGAATTGGTACAGATATGTAGGAAAGGACTTGAGTATCCCCATCACTAGAATGTCTCACCCTACTTAAATAATCTCTTTGACTTTCTAGTTTACATAATCAGTTTCAACTGGATTTACTTTTTGAGTCATTGTGATCACTTCTCGATGTCCAATGAAAGTCCATTTCTCAGGCAGGGAGTCTGAAAAAATAGACCATTCTTTGAGACTTCATTGTGACCTGCCATTAGTCTTTCTCCTTGGGTATACACACTGTTACCTTAAAACTTCATTCAAAATTTCAAATCTTCCATAATCTTTCATTAAAGTTCAGAGCTGATTTATCATTTTCTAAATAACTCCTCAAGAAATTCTAGCAAATAAAGAGTGAAGATATTTGAAGTGACATACTTGACAGTCACAATAAGTAAGAAAAGATTGCAGGAAAAAATATTTTCTATAAAATCATAATAGCAGGTTTTAGAAGTTATATGAAGATAAACTCATTTGTTTTGTTTTTTTAAATGGAGTATAGCTTAAGAGGAGAAATTATTAGAAATAAGGACAGATTATTAGAAATCAATGGCAATTATTTCAGAATCATTCTCAATGTGTTGCTCACCTTTCTACCTCATAATCAGTCACCAAAAGCTTCTAGTACTCTATACTATAGAGTATATGAGTTTTTATATCCTAACCAACTCATCTTCATCCTTATCTTAAAATAAGCCCTCACCACCTAGTGTCCCCCATTTCATCTTTCTTCATTCTACTGAGGCCACTAGCTTCGTATATTTCTGAAATAGAGGTGGAATCATATCAGTTTACTGCTTAAAACCTCTCACAACTTCAATTGTCTGTAGCAGTATTTCACAAAACAAGATATTTAGACATATTCTTGAAGATATGAACATTATATCATGAAGTTTAAACATTGGGTTTTCAAATGTATCTCTTTTACATGGAAGACATGAAAAACATTTGCATAGCATAAATTTAGTTTCTTAATTCTGTATGCATCTGTGGATATATACTTAGGGGCCTATATATATATATATTTCCCCTCCAGTAATAAATTCAAGAGGATACATAAATAACTTCAGGAGACAAAAACACAACAGCTTCTCCACCCAGGACTGACTGTGAGAATTTTTCTATGGGACATTACATTTCACACCACTCTCAAGGCCTACTATAAAAAAAGGGCAATAACTGTGAGGTTCAATCAAAACCAATTGTTCAATTCCTCCTGCCTTTCTGGAGACAGCAGAGTGCACGGGTTGCCTTTGCTCCTGCTTCTCCAGTCCTGCTCTCCTCACAGCTACATCTATGTGGGCTCCCCTTATAGGCCAAGTCATCCCAACTTCCACTCTCTCTGAGGTTTGAGATCAAATGGGCATCTCTAACTAGCAAAACTCACTTCCAGGCATTTGCCTCTAATACCCTTTCTTCCCCATTGAAAGAAACCAATGTTTCTTGGAGATGAGGCTGATTCCAGGCCTGGGGCATTCTAAGTACAAGATGACTTTACAATATTTTGTTATACTAGGGAGAAGGTGCTAAACATAGTGATGGAGATACAAACCAGAGACATATGAACCATCTTGAAGGTGCGCTCATAGGTGAAATCTGGGACCAGATGAGCACCAATGGGAGAGAGATCATCAGCATGTGCCTTCAGATATGACACCCTCTGAGAAAAACACAACTCAGCCATGTAGAATTATGGCTAAGCACACATTACTTGGATCCAATCATGAGGACATATCAGACAAACCCATACTGAGGAAGATTCTATTTGAAAATGTGGGAGGGACTGTACTCCCCAAAATGTCAATCTTATAAAAACCAAAAGGGTGTGGAAATAGCTCAGATTAAAGAAGGCTAACGAGCATGACAGCTAAATTCTACTTGACCCTAGACAGGTTTTTGTTACAGAGAAAAAAAATGTTATAAAGTACAGTATTATATCTATTGAAAAAAACAAACAAACAAACAAATATAAATATCAGATTAAAGTATCCTATCAATAGAGAATTTGCTGAAATTTATAACAGTTCTATAGTTAGGTAAGAGAATATTCCTGTTCTAAGGAAAAACACAATGGAATGTCCAAGGGTAAAGGATTCAGCTCTATGTAACTTATTTCCAGTGGTTCAGATTGGGAGACAGGAGGAAAAGCAAACAAGAGAAAATATGAACAGTCATAAATCTGGGTAAAGAGTGTATGTGTGGGGGTCTTTTTGGTACTATTTTTACTGTTGCAATTTGTCTGTAAGTTTAACATTATTTCTGAATCAATGTTTAAATAAAAGAGTAAAAAATATTTCCCTGGTGAGGAAAAAACCTTTGTTAGATCAAATCAATATTTTCTAACTTTTTCCTACCAGGACATTGGTTTCATATAACAGATATAGTTAAGCTACGCAGTAGTTGAGGTGCAATTTGAAGTACCTTAGATATTACGTATGTATTTGGTTATCAAGATTTATTGAACTCACATCATGTTCCAGATAATGTGCTATCATACGCCTTTTCTCTCCTTAAGAAAGTATACTTGATAAGTATGAGTGAGAATAAATTATTGGAAAAGAAGAAAAGAATTCACAAACAGATTATTAGTGACAGCAAATTATTTATAATAAACTTCATCTCTGTGCATTAGAAACTCATTTGAAAGCTGCTGGCCACATTGACACAGCTCAAGCCACTTTTCTGTTTTGATTTGAGGCCCAGAGAAGTGAGGCTCCCATACTGTGTGTGACCAGCCCCTGTTCCTTAGAAACAAAGTTCATACTTTCTCCAGTCTCTTCAAGTATGGAGCCCCTCTTTGCCATGTCATTAACTCAGTATTTGTTAAACCCTCGCTGTCCATGGGGATACCCAATCCTCCCAGATGGTGGCTGTCAATTTTTGTGAGTGCCTTTGTCTCAGTTTGTAGTGACTGAGACTTCTGGGTACCATGTGTTGCTTCGCATGTGTTATTGAAGGTCCAACTTTCTATTGTCCATCTTCGAGAAACTCATGGACTCTGGGTCATCAGAGTACAATGGAAAGGACTCTTGGATTTTGACACTTGACAAATACAAGAACAGATTTATTGATAGCTCTGCCACCTAACACATCGGCAATAGTAGCCAGATTACTTAATATCTCTCTTAGCCAAAACCAGTTTGGCTCAGTGGATAGAGCGTTGGCCTGTGGACTGAAAGGTCCCTGGTTCGATTCCAGTCAAGGGCATGTACCTTGGTTGCAGGCACATCCCCAGTGAGGGGTGTGCAAGAGACAGCTGATCGATGATTCTCTCTCATCGATGTTTCTAACTCTCTATCCCTCTCTCTTCCTCTCTGTAAAAAATCAATAAAATATATATATTTTTTAAATATCTCCTTTAATCCTTAAACTGGAAATAATGATGCCATACTCGTCAGAGGGTGATTGGAAGGATTAAGTGAGATAGTGCGATGCAAATTTTTGCATAGTGCCTTGTACATAGTAATTACCTGGAGAACATTAGTCATGCATATTACTTTAGGAAAATAATCGTACTTTTTATTTGAACAACTAGCACCAGGATTTCTCTTTAGGGTGATATTCTCCTGTTGAAATTCTTCTTGGGGAGCATAAGGCCTGGAGTTATAGATTGGAAGGATCCAGGGAAATGAAAGAGACAGGGAAACCACACTCCATTGTCCAGCAACAGAAGTTAAAGGGTAACATAGTAAGCAAAAGGACAAAAACAAAGCAAGACAAAAAGTTCAGGATAGCAGGTTAAGGAAAGAGAGCAAGGTTTGTCTGCATGGCTGGTGCCAGAGTTTTAGGAGGTGGTCCATTTAGTGCAAATCCTAAGTTGTTTTACTTGCCACAAGTCAGTACCTGATGTCTCTCCAACCCTCCAGTTAAATCAATGCCTTCAGTTAATTTTCCTGGTTTTTTGTTTGTTTGTTTTTGTTTTGTTAATAGTTTTGTTTCCATAATGAAAATCGAGGGGAAGGAGATGGATCTCATGCCCAGGCAGCCTTGAGCAGAGATGAAGGAAAAACAGGTGCTGGAGGGAAGATGCAAGCAAGATGGAGAGCTCTGCAGGAGAAGTAAGTAGGACCCAAAAGAGACCACAAAAAGGAACCTCTGATGAAGCAAATGATCTTCAGGGATAATGGGATAGGGGTTTAATCCCTGAGTGTGGGTTTTATCCTTGTAATGGTTAAAGAAATTGTCTTGCCTCAGAGATCCTAGTGTCCAATATAATTTACACTAGATAAAATACTTAAACTAAGGAAAGTATAATACAGTCTTATATTTATAATCCCCAAATACATAAAGTTCTCTAAATGCATTATTTTGTTTGGCACCAATACTCTTTAAGTGGAAGGACCTGACTTTCTTTGCTATTAGGCTGCCGTTATCTCTTTTTATTGACATAGTGGGTACAGTCATACATATTGCTAAAGAGTTATTGATGTGTTGGATGATGGCGTGCTGCCCAGACTCTGCTAGGGTTATTGACCACTGACATATATGTGCCACATGCCCTTACTCAACCCAGAAAATACTAAATTCTCAAGCCTTCTGCATTAGGGTGTTGGATAACATTGTAAACATAAATTCAGAAAAAAAGAAAAGACATTTTAGATGAGTGAAGAAGAGGGGGGTTACCTTCCAGTGTGTTTCTAAAGCTTAAGTTGGCAGTTTTATCCATGGGCCCCGATTCATACTGGGTCAGACTCAGGCAAAATTCCACATCAGCTGAGGACGGGAGCCTCGAGGTTCTGCCTTTGTCGTGGTTTCCAGGGTTGCGCAGTAATGGTCCCTCAGCAGTCCCGTTGCACAAGGCCTGGCGGCTGTTATACTCCTCCAGTCGGCTGCATATGATCTGCACAAAACACCTGGTGTTAAAGGAGGTGTCACCACCTCTAAGCCAAAGAAGGAAGTAGGGATCTTGAAGTTCCTGGTTGCCATATTTTGATTCCTAATCATCAGGAGGTTAATAGTTCAAAGTAAATTGTTGAAGAAAGCAGCTTTCAGAGGGTTGCTGAGTAAACTGTGAAAGTTAAAATCTAGAAAAGAATTGTAATATTTCATCTACTTAAGAGAACATATTAAATTCCCTATCAAATGGGGATAATATTAACTATTTGATATAACTGTTATAAGATATTTATTTGATGAGAAAATTAACATGAGAAATATTTGTTAATTAACTGTCATGTGACGTCACTGGTTTTATGCCCACCAAATCAGGTTTGGCCTAGAGTTGAGGGGTGTACCCTCTTCTTTTGTTCTATTTCTGATCTTCTCTGGCTATAACAACATGCCTGTTATCTGATATGAACTCCCTAATTTCTATCTCTAGTCCAAAATCCACTCCTCTGAACTCTAAACCCATATTTCCATCCCTAACTTTATTTTTCAATGTTATCTCACATGTATCTCAAATGAACATTGAAAACCCCAAATCCGTTCCTCTCCTGACATTGCCTATTCCACCAACCATCCTGCAGCTCAAACCAGAAGCCCATGAATATTCATGTTTAAGCCAAAAACTGGTGATTTGCTGTTAGATTTTTATTCCCTTTTGTCTTTCACGTTGAAACCATCAACCAATATTGTCAATTCTCTCTCCAGAGAATATCTTGAATTTAAGAACCAATGTCCATTTGTTTATAAATCATATGACCCTACTGCTAAATTCTGATGGGTTATTCTCCTCTGGGCCTAGCATCTGCCTCTCCATTCCATGCACTTAATCATGCCTATTCATTGTCATGTATCTGATATTCTACCAAATCTTCAAGGCCAAGGCAACATTTTTTGGGGAAAAATAAACCCTATAGATTCAGACTTAAAAATAATTCAAAAGAGTCTGACTCTATATATGAAGACACTGTAGGAATCCTCCACTAAATTATTTTGTTTTTAGTTTCCTTTATATATAGGTAGAACAGTAAGTTATGATGAAAATATTTGACTAAATAAGACCAAAGTAGCACTTTCAATAAGTACAAAATAAAAATTCTAAGGTTTAAGAACATCACATTATAATTTAAAGGGCAGATTTATTTTTAGTGGTATATAAATTAATTCTTCATCTTAAATTCATTGACGAATAAGATACAGTGAAAGCAAGTCATTAGGTAACAAGATGCAAATCCTAAACCAAAGCATAAGTGCAGGAGAACCCACTCTGCTATGCTTGACTATTCACAACAGACACAGTCTTCCATAGGAGCCCTGTACCCACTGAGTATCTAATCTTCTTTGTCAAACATAAACTTTATTCACTGTAGTCTTCCTTGATAAAAATTCAGTATTACCCCCCCTTAAAAAATAATCTTCATAAGGATAATTTTCTTTTTTAACGATGATCCTTATTGATCCTCAGAATCTAAAATAGAGGCCTAATAAATATTTTATGAATAAACAAATCAAGAGATAAACCATTATATCTTCAGCTACAAGCATGTGCTGAGCACATTCTGTTCCTAGTCCTGATATTGGTACCAACGTCTGCCCTAGAAGATATTTACAGAAATAGATCATTTTTAATAAATATATATTGAGGCCAACTGTGTTACAGACCACGAGGAAGACATCACTGTGTATTTTTTTTAAATTCACACCTTGTTGGTTTATATGATTTTATATCTACTTTAATGATGAGAAAGCTGATTCTAATTATAGAAGAGTATGAAAGGCTGCAAGATCTAAAACCCTCTGTATGGTTAATAGTCTTATAACAACAAATGAGTAAACTATTTTTATTTAAAATTTTATGGAAGCATAATAGTATATATGCTCATAAAGGCACAGATTCTGAATGCACAATTAGATGAATTTTTACAAACTTAAATTTACCCACATAATCAGGATCCAGATCAAGAAACAAATAAAACAAAAATGCTGTGACCTCAGAAGTCTCCCTCATGTCTTTCTTGAATTATTACCACCCTTCCCAAAAATATAATCAGCATCCTGGTATCTAATAGCATGTCTTAATATTGGTAGGTATTTTTGGACACACAAAAATTTTATAGATAACAGGAAGGCCCAAGAATAATATTTATTAGTGAAAGACTTCCTGTTTAGCTGTGTTATGCACTTCAGTTAAAAATAATTAAAACAATCATATCAGTTTCCTGCTCTAGTGAGTTTGCAATCTATAGGAATGTAAAAGCAAATTAAATCACCATCAAATAGACCTGAGTGAGCTGTGTGCCCCAGGAATGGCTGCTACTGTGTTAAATGAGAAACACTTAAAAAGCTTTTAATTTTCAGTCAGTAAGCTATCAGTTATGAGTTAAAGTATTGTGTGGTGGAAAATAATCGGTTTCTAAAATTGAAGTGGATGTGGGCTTCAATTCTTGCTCAATTACTTACTAGCATTGTTTCAATGAGCATGTGATCAGTCTTTCTCAACCATAATGTAAAATAATAAATGAAATCTAATATATATAATATATAAATACTAGAGGCCCGGTGCATGAAAAGTCATGAACTGGAGGAGGGTGTCCCTCAGCCCGGCCTGCCCCCTCTCACAGTCTGGGAGCCCTTAGGGGGGGCAGGCAACCCAGGGATCAAGAGAAGACGACACCCCCACCACACCTCTGTTGCTGCCACTGCCGGCAGCACAACCCTTAGCCAGTCCTGGTTACCTGAGCCTTTGGCAGTCCTGGGAAGCTGGGCAGCTGCCATCGAAGCTTGTCTATACCTTGGGCTGGCCCTGTGTGACTGGGAGACTGAGGGATCTGAGGGACTCTGGAGGCAGGCACGCAGAGTGACGAGGCCTGGTCTTGCCGCGTGCCTGCTGCCCCAGCGGGGCTGAGGGGACTGGGTGCCACCATCCTGTGTGTGTGGGTGCTGCTATCTTTAAGGGCAGGGCGGTCAATTAGCATATTCCCTCCTTATTGGCTGTGAGCACTGCCATCTTTGCAACTGTGTGAGGGTCAATGAGCATATTCCCTCTTTACTGTACTAGATAGGGTGTGATTAATATATTGATAGCATAATAAATAATGATATGAAATAATATAATTTGGCCCAACAGATATCAGTTTCTCGATTTCTTCATACTTAAGCACATTCCTCAATCCTTTTATCCATGCATAATGAGAGCTTGAATAAGGAGGGAACTTTCCTAAGGTCATAGGATGTTTAGAACCAGAGCTAGAAAATGAATACACATTCCTCTTAATTCTAACACTATATTGACTGCATTTATTACTGCCTGTACATGACTTGGATATTTGAATAAAATTAATGTAACTTTTGTATTAAATGTGATAAATCAAAATTCCTTTAGTGTCGATTAACTAGACATTGTGGCATGTACATAGAGGAGATCATTTTCATTCCTATTTGAATAATAAAACATCTCAGGATATTTTCAAAAGATCCTACTGCCTAAAAGACTCCTATAGCAGACTTGGCTAAATTAGAGAGGTTTAAGGAACCATTTTTACTGAAATGCCAACTGTTTAGTGACTAAGTGTGAAATGACTGGATATATTAGTAACAAAGGAAATCTACCTTGGTTCCAGAAATAATTTAAAAACTTAATCCGAAATAATTATCTTTATATTTGATACAGAGGGCAGGCAGGGAGGGAAAAGAGTTAGCACTAATGTTAGGATCACATAGATCACAGTTAGAAAGACCGGGTTCCCTATATGGACTCTTTATTTGCTACATGACCTTGGGCAAAACACTTAAACTCTCTGAGTATCAACTTTTTTTCATTTGTAAATGGGGATTGTAACAACTTTTTATGAAAGACCAACTAATTTAACACGTGTAGAGCACTTAGTATATAGTGCTAGGTATATAGTATTTAATAGTAACAGCTCTTATAATTATTGAATATAAGATCAATTGGGAAGCCACCAAATTGTTTTTAACTCTGGCTCTATAATACTGGCTTAATATGCATTATTATAGTAACTAAAATTGATATATAAAGATATATTGTAATAGTAATTTCTACACATGGAACTCAAAGAATATGTCATATACTAAACTAGTCATTTTGCACTGATTTCACCAAATATCATAATAATGCTTTATGATATATTATTTTAATTTTAAAGGAAAAAAGGTCTCAAAATAAATAACTTGTCCAGGATCTTATAACTAAGTAAGTTAAAATAGTCTACTGAAACTCATGTTTATATGATCAGAAGATTATATACCCTTTCCACTATCTTATTCTGTTTTCAATTGCATTCACTATTTCCATTAACACAGAAAACAAGCATATATGATAATTGTACCCAAGGTGTTTTGTTGTTGTTAAAAAATTCAAAGAGTCTAAATAACTTGTTTAATATCATCTGGTAATGACAGCGTACTTTGGACAAAAATTGTTCTTTTTCTTTATTTTAAATATATTTTCATTGACTTCAGAGAGGAAAGGAGAAGGAGAAAAAGAGATAGAAATATCAATGATGAGAGAGAATTACTGATTGGTTGCCTTCTGCACACCCCCTACTGGGGACTAACAATGCAACCCATTGACCGAAATTGAACTCGAGACCCTTCAGTCGGTAGGCCAAAGCCCTATCCACTGAGCAAAATCAGCCAGGGTTCTTTTTTTTTCTATTTTAACATAGGTGATTTATAATATATGATGGGGGGGGGGGGGAAATAAGTGTTTCAAGTCAAATGAAAAGGGGAAATAGAACAAACAGATATATTAATGGAGGTGGACCTAGACAGTGCTCTCTTAAATTTAAAGAAATAGCAAGTAACTATCATTTATTAAAAGCTTTCAGGAGCAAAGATTCTTCTTATGGCATTAGAGGTTTTAACTGGAAAAAAGAAGTAAGACATATGACATTCCACAGAATCTTTTTCATAAAGAAAAAAAGAGCTGTTATTTCACTGAGCTGTTGCCATGGTTACATAAAACTCATGACTGTCTGCTAAAAATGTGACTTTTTTTTTTCTTCCCTCTGTTTGCTTCCATGTGATGTACTTTTCACCTGATGAGTGAATTTCCTGGCCACATTTCACTCATGTCTATCATTGAGAAAATGTTTTTTTCCTCTTTATTTTAATTAATCAAGACAGTTACCCCTGATCTACCTTTTCTCTTTATGGCTAGCTTTTCCGCTGCTTGCATAACACTGAGTCTAATTGTGTTGAGCATAGGTATTTGTACTTTAATACTATTAAGGACTCCTCCATCTCTGGAAATAATAGACTATTTTAATTGATCTCAAACATGCTTTTATTTGAAAATATTTGGGCACTAAACAAACAGATAAATGAACAGACATACAAAACATATGTAAATTCTGAATAAAAGCTTTTGAAGGAAACTAACATTAAGTACCTGATTTTTAATATAATATTTTCTTTCATAGAAATGCCGTACCATCAAATATTATTATTAATCACTTTAAATAACACTCAGTTATGTTATAACTCACTTAGTCTTCTTTATTGTGTGATCTCTCTCTTTAGTTTTCTCATGCACACACACAAACACACACATATAGATACCCAAAGAGAAAGAACTATACAAAATATCTTCTTCCATATTTTGAGTAAATTGCTGCTTATAATGGCCTGTTGTATCCTTAGCCATGAGTATCTAATGCTATAAAAATTTTTAAAAAAGTGTAAGTAAGATTCTAACAAAATCCAGTCATGCAGAGTTTCATTTTTCATGTTTGTTAGCATTGGAGTTAACATTTCTGTGAGTTTTAATTTTGTTCCATTCAAATACATTTATAAAGCCCATTCCATGTATAGAGAGTATTGTCCCAGGCTTTGTGGATATAAAAATAGATGGGAAATTGCCTCTACCTTATAGCAGCTGACAATCTGGTAGACAAATATAGGTTTAAAAATAATGGCATGCTGTGCTATAGATCTGGACTAAATAAGCAATGGACGAAATGTACAGAATGTAATGATGCTAGCACAAAGGGGTTAGAGTTAATTCTACTTGAATAACGACGTAGAATATTTTTATTATAGTATAAATAAAAAGACAACATTAGAATATCTGCCCCAATTGTCTGTACAATTGATCTTTAAGGAAGTCAGAGTGACTGCAACTCAAATTCTACATCCATTAATTAGTGGCTTATTTGGAATATAATTTGAGTCTAAGGGGGAACAACATGGTTGACTTGAAATTGCACTGGAGTCAGAGGCACTGGGTTTTAGTCCTTATCTGTGTGACCTTGGGCAAATCATCCTGCCCTTTGGGGCCTACCTTGGACACTATACTAGGTACTATTAAAGGGTCTCTTTGTCTCAGTGTTCACAAATGTTGTGAATCTCTAAAACCTCTATCTTCCCTCTTTGCTTTCAGTAAGAAATACTGAAAGCAGGGGGTGGGAGAGGGGAAATGGAGGCTCTGTATTAAAGGAACTATCAACCTAGTTAATTCGGAAGGTATTAATTTGTATGAAGGCTTTCTGATTTTATCTCACACAAAGTAGTCCAGTTCTTGATTTGTGTATTCAATTCAGGCAAAAGCATTGGCCCCGGTGGTGTATTTATTACAAAACCTGAGTTTGGGAAGTAGAAGAGATACCAGAACAATCCCATGTTAATTAAACCGGTGATTCTCAGTGCTGGCTGCACATTAGAACCACTTGAAAAGGCTTTAAAATGCAGGGGCCTAAACTTCGCAGTGGACCAACTGAATATGATTTACTGTTAGAAATTAGATGGGTGGAGCCCGTGCAATTATTTTTTAGTTTTGTTTTGGTTTGTGAAGTTCCCTAAATGATTTTGATGCTGAGAACTACTGAATTAATCAATATAGGTAACTGGTCTTGCCCCCCCAGTTTAGCTCAGTGGCTGAGCATCAGCTCATGAGCCTGGAGGTTACGGTTCCATTCCCAGTTAGGGCACATGCTGAAGCTTTGGACTCATCCCCAGTAGGGTTGTGCAGGAGGCGGCGGATTGATAACCTATCTCTTTCTCTCACTGATGTTTCTTTCTCTCAATCTCTCTTCCTTTCTCTAAAATCAATTAAAATATTTTTAAAAACTCATCTTAATTTTAAAAGGACTATAACAGGAGAGGTTGTGGGAATCAATGGAAACAAATAACTAGAATTGGTTTTCATTGTCACTTCACACAGTGAACACCACTCAATGTAGGTTAACGCAAATGTTCATTCACTTCACCTTCCTTATTTAAACTACCATTTGCTTGGTTTTCTTCAATGTCTACCCTACACGCTATTTCATTTTTAACACGTTACTACAATTATAGCAATGTAAACATAGACCTACATTGAACCTAATGTTATAGCCATCTAGTTCAACACTTACTTATTAGACCCAATGATTTTTTAAAAATATATATTTTATTGATTTTTTTACAGAGAGGAAGGGAGAGAGACAGAGAGCTAGAAACGTCGATGAGAGAGAAACATCGACCAGCTGCCTCCTGCACCCCCCCCCCCACCGGGGATGTGCCCTCAACCAATGTACATGCCCTTGACCGGAATCGAACCTGGGACCTCTCAGTTCGCAGACCGACGCTCTACCACTGAGCCAAACTGGTTTCAGCAGACCCAATGATTTTTATGTAAAAATAAAATTGGCTGAAATCATAAAAGCAAAAAAAGGAACAGTTTTCCACTCAATAATTAATAAATTACTTGAAAATAATTACAAATAATAATTCTGGGTATTACTAAGTAGCATGTATTTCATGTAATTAAATATCAGTTAATATCCATCTCTTAGATATTATAACTTTTTTTTTTTTTTTTTTTTGTAATTTAGATAATACTCCAGACTTTCTGGGTCAAGTGAAGCTGTATAGTTAAGGAGAGCATTCTAACTCACTGAAAACTTCACATCCCACCTTGGCAATATTTTAAGTAGAAAGAGTGGTTGTGAGAGCTAGGTAAGAGTTTTGCACTTTATAGATTAAGGCAGGAGGTCTGAATGCTTATTGAAACAGATTTCTTTTTCCAAGCACCTCTTTTTTCCAGACTTTTCTACACAAATACACTCATTAATCTTGGTAAATTGCTGACATTAATGACCACAGGTATTATACAGGGACCATTTTTCAATGAGCTTCAATAGGCTCCATTTGGAAAGTGTACAAACTTAGTTTGTGTTGTGGGGGTCGGGGAGGGGGGTGTGGGGACAGGTGGGAAGCCACCCACATTTGGAAACTGCAGAGTGCAAAGTGCAAATATTGAATTCTTTGCATCTTGTTTAAATATTGGACTTAGTTCCATAAAGCATTGCTAGATAAAACAGCCATAATAGAAATGTTTGGAATACAAGCAGAAAAAGCATTCCTTCTCCCTTGTGGTTTAAAATGATAAATAATTAGAAGCATATTTATTTGGTTACCTTTTGTCCCTGATTCGGAGTGAAAAATTCAGAAGAGGAGAAATAGATATTAAATTTCAAAATAGCAATCCCTTATCTTGTGCCTCTCAGTGTGCACACTTCAGGGAGGGGGGAGCTGATTTCTTCTGCAGCCAATTGAAAATAGTCAGGCAGAATGGGCCTGATCCTTCAGCTAAAGACACCATAGCAGTGATGTCCTTGAAAGTAGTATAGAGTAGCCTTGACGTCAAGCTACCTGAGCATAATTCTTGTCTCTGCTACTAACTAGCTCTATGATCTTGCACAAGTTACCTAATATCTTTATACCTTAGGTTTTTAATCTTTAAAATGGGAAAAATTAGTGAAACTATTAAATCATTTAATGTACAAAAACACAACAGGGTTTCACCATGCTAAATGCTCAATAAATATTAGCTATTGTTGTGTGAGGTTTCTGTTTGTTTGTTTGTTTATGAATTCTCACCCAATGATATTTTTTTCCATTGAAGAAGGCAGAGGAAGAGAGTGCCCATAAATGTGAGAGAGACAAATCCATTGGTTGCCTCCCGCACTCACCCCCGACCTGGGCTAGACGTTGAACCTGCAACCCAGGAAAGTGCCCTTAACTGGGAATCAAACCCAAGACCCTATGGTGTGCAGGCTGACACTCTAACCACTGAGTAACACCAGCCAAAACAGCTGTTTTTATTACCTACTTGAGCCTTAGGGTTCTTATATGTTTTTTAAAAAGAAGATTTAATCTAAAGAATATTCCCCCAATTTCCCTGACTATTAATCCTCAGACATTTAGCAAATGATGATGCTTCCCCAGGACCCTCCACTAAACATTCTAATCAAAGGGTCTGGGATAAGGCCAGGGACTTGTACTTTTAGTATGTGCTCTATGTGAATTTTGTTGTGAAGAAAATTTCAGAAACACTAATGTAGATAATTTATTTAATCATCTAAATAGTCATTCATCCATTCTTTCAACAAATATTTAATAAGCCTTTACCATTTGCCAGGTACCATCCTAGCTGCTGGGGGATGAATCAAATACTCTTTTTATTAGATCTTAGGAGCCTGGTAGAAGATATCAGACCAATAAGCTCACAGATATCTATGTAACTACAATTGTGAAGTGTGCGCTACAGGAAAAATACAAGGTATGTTGAGGGTTCTTAATAGGAAACCTTTTCTGCTCTTGGCAGAAGAGATGAGGAAGGAGGCTTATACAGCTCTGCCTGAAGAAGTGATTACTAAATTTCCTTTATGCTCTGATACTGTATGTCCAGCACACCTTACCTGCCAAGAGGAGAAGAAGGACGCTGGGCTGAGAAGGTTAGGGTTTTCTGGGTTGCGCCCTCCCATGAGTTCATCTGTGCAAATGTCACAGTTTTCAGCATCTCTCCAATCCCAGAATGGAATGGTGAAGTTCTCATCCCCTGTCAGCTCCTGGATGTCCTTTTCCCACATCAACAAAAAGAGTCTGTGCCAAGGAAGGAAACCCGGTGCTTCATGAGCAAAATCAACATCTCTCCAGATTTCAGACCCCCCAAGCAGTGTGTCCATGGACACATAATAGTGCATCCAGACGAAGAGGTCATAAATGCTGATGTCCTTAAACATGGGTGTTGACCCATTATTCATTTGGCCATAGGTGCCTATGGGAATGACATAGTCTGGGTCGGTAGTATGCTTTGCTAAATTGATGTAAGCAATAAATTTGTTCTTCTCTGGAACACTCAAATCAAAGATGTTCCTTCTCACCAAGAGTCGTCTCTCTGTGCATTCTGGTCCCCAAAAGCCATACTTGCACTTTCCACAGTTGAATCCCATGAAGTTGCCAAAGCACTGGCAGGTCCTGTTATAGAAGACAGAGGGCCAAGACTCCCTGTCATCCACCCCCGTGAAGGGGAATTGAGGCCCATGTGGTGCATTGGACAGAACAACATCCTGACAGGATCCCCTGCCGGAAAGCTGGCCACAGGGACTCCCATCACCTCTCCATGGTGGGCAGCATTCCTTCTCTATCAGCTTCTCGGAGGACACACAGGCTCGAGGGAATTGGCCTTCGGAGGTCTGGAAACTCCACAGCAGGCAGTACAACACAGCAGGTAGCATTCTTCCTCTAATCCTCACAAGGCCCGTTTGCACTGTGCAATTGAGTAACACAGTTTTCTTTCAGCTAACCCTCCGGTGACTATCACATGTTTTGGCTAAATCCTATATAATGCCACTCCCACCTCCAGCAACAAACACTCTCAGTCTTTATCTTAAGCTTTCATCTTCTGAAAACCACATGACTAACTTTTCTTTGGAGTTGGCATGCATCCTGCAAGTGGGATAGCCCTATGTTAAAGTGAGAAGCACTGTTCACCATTAATGGATTCTTATGGTTAGAATGCTAAATAAAATAATATTATTAATAATAGTAATGCCTAATCTATGTAAACTCAGTTCACCGACCATGAAGTGAATGATGTTTTGATTTTGAAAACAAGAAGTAGTGTCAGTAACAGAGCTTCTCCTATTAAGAAAATGCAGGATATGTTAGATACAATGGTTGTAAGGTAGATGCTCTTCAGAGACCATAAATAGAATAAGCCACAGCATTTGCAGGTCAGCTTTGAAAAAAAAAATAATTTTCAGAGCCTAAAGATTATTTCTTGTATATGATTATATTGCAGCTTCTTTATTTTCTATGAAGTATCAGAAGACAACATTTTTCTACTACTCCTCCCTGATCGTGGTGCAGTTGGCTGCTTGCTAGCTCCCTAAGCACTCATTTTCTGTTAATTCCTAAGGATAAGTCACTTTGATAAGCAGATGATCTGTCTTATTTTTAGGACTTTTACTACTTAAAATTCCAAAAGAAACTTTTTGTTTTTATTGCTGTAGCCATTGCAAAGTTTTCAATTTAGTGAGTGAATGAAAAAGAATTATTATATAGGGTGTCCCCCCAAAAAATGAATATACATTTTAACAGCTGATAGCTCAATTTAAAAAAATGAAATGTATGTTAATAAACACACATTATAATTATTCAATGTGTGTGTATACATTTTTGGGAAACCCTGTATTTCTACAAATATTTACTGATCATTTAAATTCTTTAGGAATTCTTTCTCTGTCTGGTTGTATAGTGAGCTGAATAAGTTAAAATACATGAATAAAAATATAATTTTACCTCTTACACTAGTTTTCAAATGAGTAGTATAGATCATAAATACCTGCGACTTTATATATATGTATAAAGAATATATATATATATATATATACATACATATATATATATATATATATATATATATAGAGAGAGAGAGAGAGAGAGAGAGAGAGAGAGAGAGAGAGAGAGAGAGGGAGAGGGAGGAAGGGAGAGAGAGAGACATCAATGATAAGAGAATGAGAGAATCATTGATTGGCTACCTCCTGCCCACCTCCTACTGTGGATTGAGCCCACAACCCAGGCGTGTACTCTGATCCGGAATTGAACTATGACCTCCAGTTGGCAGGTGGATGTTCAACCACTGAGGCACACCAGCCAGGCAGTACACAAGACTTTTAATGGTAGGACATCTTGAACTGAGAATTCTTAAAAGAATTGCATAGTTGTTGTTTTGTTTTATTTTTTAATAATATTCAAATTTTATTTAGGGAGTGCCTTACATGGTAGTGATAAGTTAGAAAGACTAATGAGAATTGAGACACTACTTCAGGCAGGCAAAACTATGGAGGTGGGATTTGTGTTTCCTTGGCAGAGTTAGAGCATTGGATTCAGATAGGCTCCCCATGGAGGGCTTAAAAAACTAGTTTGAAGTAAGGTGAATTAAAGAATTAGAGGATAAGAATAGTCAAATCAAAGTTGCCTGTCTGAGATGTCTTACTTTCCTTATCCTACTCCATACTCAAAGCTGGGTGGTCCCAGGAATATAAAGAACAAGTGAGAGAAGTGAAAACTCTGAAGAAAGCAGCAGTGTCTGGGCTCTTCTTGGCTGCAGAGTTCTAGGGAAGGTCATTACCCTGGTGTCCTTGGAATGTCAGCCTTGTCTGTGCTCTTCCTTTTCTGTTGGAGTGGATCTGGTGAAAAAAAGTCAAGGTTCTTCCATATAGCTTTCATGAGACTCAAAGCAGCCTTTTTGGTTGGAAAGAGCAGTGTGTGGGTGAGGAGGAAGAGAAGTTTCTATGGAAATGCTGCCTCTGGCTGGGATCAGGAAGTCATCACATGGTCTCCACAAGGAGGCTTAATCTTTTTTCTTCCTCCTTTCACAGCCACAAAGAGATTAAAACAGTGCTTCTTGTCTCTGGGGAGTCTTGAATCTGTATTACTTTTAACCACATGGGGCCTTTTGTAATTGTGTTCCATCTACTTGCGACAGAATTCAACTTCTCATGTACCATTTAATGAAGAATTTTGCTTTACACTTGCCCCCTATCAGGCTTCTCAGTGAATAACTTAGAAAGCCTCCATCACACCCCTGGGCTTCTGTGTGTACATCCCCAAGTCTGTTTTCTCAATCTTCAGAGTGTGCTCAGAGGAATGGCGAAAATGTAGTTTGTCCTCTTAATTTCTTTTACAAGGTTGATTTCTTTAAATTAAGAGACCTTGTGTTTGTTTTTTAAAAAAATAAATTTTATTGATTTTTTTTTTTTTTTTTTTTTTTACAGAGAGGAAGGAAAAGGGATAGAGAGTTAGAAACATTGATTAGCCTCCTGCACACCCCTTATTGGGGATGTGCCCACAACCAAGGTACATGCCCTTGACTGGAATCGAACCTGGGACCCTTCAGTCCACAGGCTTTATCCACTGAGCCAAATCGGTTTCAGCTGACCTTGTTTCATTCTGAAATATAGGACACTAACTCCTCTGGCCCATATGTACATGTCTTATTGTCAATACAAACTTCTTAAAAATCAAACCCTATTTAGACTGGTTACTCTCTGAACTATAGTTGCACATTCTCTAGATGTCTCTGGTTTATAGAATTGAGTGTCATATTGAAACCAAAGTGCTGTGATCAGGTCCAAGTTTATTGTCTGGCAAAATCAAGAATGAGTTCACAGAAAAGATGGTAAGAAAAGCAAAGTTTAGTAAAAGATAATTGGACTCCCTGCAGCAGGGAGGGGGCCCAAACAGGTTGCTGGATATGATTCTTTGTCTAGGAGTAGATTTATGTTTTGCTGGCTTGTGATTGGTTCTTTCAAAAAAATTCTGCCTTAGCAACATCCATACATTTTAAAGCTCACTTCTCTGGCATGCACCCTTTTTCCCCACCTAGCCGGATTGCCATAGCAACTCTTGCCTAACTGGGTCTAGTCTTCCCTGCGTAGATCTCATCCGTGATACCTAGTCCTCTTCTGTCTCCTCATTATCCTTTCCTGGGGGATTATTATATGAGTCAATCTGTCAGTTAATGCAATACTCTATTAACCAGAATTAGGGGCTCAGTAAATACTTTGCAAATATTTGTTGAGCATCTATTATCTGGCATATGACAACAGATGGGGATGCCAGGTAAGCACAATAGAGAGGTTTAAACCTTGAGAAGCATGTTAATGTCTATGAAAATAATATTTTAATTTTAGTAATTTTAAATCATATATATAACTATGTACATAGATTTCAAATAGATTTTAAATGACTTTTTAAGATGTTACTATAGAAAAACAAAACTGTGAAGGAAGATGGCAGGACCTATCTAATCTCATGAGTTAGAGTCAGTGAAGGTTTTCTGGGATTAGTCACATTTTAAGTGACCTCTGAAAAATGAGTTAGTGGAGAACAGTGGATATTAGAGCATTCCAGACAAAAGCAAAGACCCCAAAGTGAAAGAAGCATGCATGCTCAGGGATATTTAAGATGGCTAATACCCACAAAGCTATGGAGATGTAATATAAGTATGGAGGTATACTAGTATATAAAGATGAGAGCATAGGCCTTAATGGTTTAAAGCAAAGTTTTGAAATTACCATGTGAAAATTAAAAAATTCTACTCAAGCTGCTGAGGTGACAACAGATGTGGGGGATGGGAGCAAGAGTAAATGTAGAAATAATTGTTAGAGATTATTGGAATAATCCAGGCAATAAACCGTATGTTTTAAACCAGAGTGATGATTCCTGAGATAGATGAAAGTGAATGGATTTAAGAGATAGGTGATGATTCAAGAGGAGTGAAAGGGGAACAAGATTTGGGGTTAACATCTTGGTTTCTGGCTTATGTCATTAACTAAAATAAGAAATTATCAAGGGTAAAGTGTTCATGGGAATTGAATATGGTTTCATTTTAAACATGTTGAATTTAAAAGTTGAAGCTATTGTCTATTCACAAACAATTGTCCTCTATTTTCTGAGGTTTGCATTTGTCATTCACACACTCACTGTCAACCCGGTTCTTTTCCCTCACTCTGGTAATTTGTCTCTGCTTATTTATTTGATGCTAGTTTAAACATTCTTCTCTAGGTTTGTTCAATTTATTGAGTACAAGTAATATAATCAGCTCAGTTTGAATAACTCTCATTTAAAAAATAACTTACTATGGAAATACTTAAAATAATCAAACTAGAAAAATATAATTTTATGAGTTAGCCTGTACCCATCATCAATATTCAACAACTTAGGTTATATACTTGAAATTTGTATAGTTTTGTGAACTCATATCCCTCCGATAAATTCAATTTAAAAAAATTATCAACTATTACCTTTCTCTAGGCATTGTTTCTTCTGTCCCACCAAAATAAAAAGAAATTTTTTAGTATTTTAAAACAAACTTCATATTTTTCTCTATAATCTCTCAGTATACATAGTTAACAAGTAAGGACTTAAAAATATAGCCACAATAGCAGTACATCATCTCAGACAAAAAAGAGAGAACAATAATTCCTTAGTACCATCTAATTTTAAGCCTATGATTAAGTTACTTTAAGAAAAACAAGGTCTATATATTGCTTTCGGCTAGTGTATTTCTTACATTTAAAAATATCTGGGGTTTTTTTCTTCTTTTTAAATGCAATTTATATATAGAAGAAACCATATTTTGTCCTGTAGAATTTCCCCACTTTTCAGGGTTGCCTAATTTTATCCCTATGATATCACTAGACATGTTTCTTTATCCTGTATTTTCTATCATTTCATAGGTTTTTCAATAACAGTCTTTTGCATTTTTCTATAATTAGATCTAGAGAGTTGGTTAAATTCAGAGTCAATTTTGTTATTGTTTTTGATAAGAGTTACTTCACAGTCTTACTGTGAACTTTCTCAAAGACAGCAGAGAAACCTATTGTATGATTTTGCACTAGTCATTTTTTAAGTTGATCAGGGGTTTGAAGCGATTTCAGGCGGTCTTATCTACTATATAGTTCCATGACAAATTTTACTTCATGGTTTCTTTATTTACTGATAATTGTTTCCTACATCCATTGTTTCATTAAAAAAATACAATAATAGTGAACTTTGTACTTTTACGTGCATTTATTAATTGTATTTTTTTTGTAAAGAATAACTTTTCCTCTGACATACATACAAAAAAACGAAGGGTAAATGCTCAATTCTTGTTCTTTATCAATTTCCAGAATAATGATTTGGTGCCCTAACAACCTCTAATCATAACTGATATACATAC